CGCTCAAGTGTCGGGAGCTCAAGTGTCGTACGCTCAAATGTCGGGGTCGCTCAAATGTCGGGCGCTCAAATGTCGGGCGCTCAAATATCGGGCGCTCAAATGTCGGTTGACGGATAAACATGGTTGAGACATGACTTTTTTTGTTATCTTACTATAACTTTTATTCTTCTCTATTGTTCCTATTTCAGTTCTGAACCACATGTAAGCTCATTTAATTCCTGTTTCCCAATGCAGATGTCTTCGCGCAAAAATCCTGTTATGATAAAAAGTCTAAAATTTAAAAAGTCGTCTACTTCACCTAGTGCATGAAGTCGAATGAGAAAGGGGTCAAGCAAAAAGAAACTGAACTTGTGCCTGTAGGCAAAATGTCTCAGTGTATCAAAAGTCTCTCCTAGAAGTTTAACTATTCTGAAAAGCGAGAGGATCTTGAAGAAGGCTTTACTAGCTCTCTGACAAAGGAAAGAATCATTTTTTGGTGCAGATCGTTTCGATACCGTTTTTTCTGCCACAATACCAATCAATCAATCAATCAACAGGTTTTTTATTTGAACACGAATGTGTCTAGGCTGTTACAAAAAAGGGAAACTTAAATGAATGTAACTCCTATGTAAGGAAAAGATTAATAAAAAAAAACCAAGGGAATGTTGCACATAAAAAGAAAAAAACTTGAAACGGAGAATTACATGTTCTAATTACCGTTGTAAGAACTACATATTTAAATACAGTCTAAGCCTTCGCCTAAATGCTCCTATGGCAAACTGGGATATCACGGATCACGGCAAGAGGTTCCAGTCGATACATGTACGGGGAAGAAAAGAGTGTTTTGTTGCTTCTAAGCTTGTTTTAGGGATGGTCTACTGGCACCGATTATTCAGCCTATCCGACGTCCTGCTAGTTAAAGGTTTGATCATGTTAAATCTTGAGAGAGCGCTGTTTCCTATTAAAGCTCTTATTTGAAGTTCTAAACAAGAAGGAATGAGCCATTCCATGAAAAATTTGATTCCCTATCCGATAGTATAGGTCTCAACATTTTTTGAAAAATATCTTGATCGTATAATCTGTCAGCGTCTATACGCATACTTGACTAAAAATAAGTTGCTTTACTTCTTACAATTCTGTTTCCGACATGAAGATTCAACGATAAATCAATTAATACATTTTCTTATTCATTATTAGTAAAGAATTTGTCAACAAACTTTTAACTAGAGCAGTCTTTGTAGACTTCAGTAAAGCATTTGATTTTGCTTGATACGCCGGTCTTTAGAGGTTCATCACAATTTGACAACGAACTTCAAAGTATTTTATTTGAAACTGAAATTGAAGTTGATCTACGAGAAAAATCTAGTCGTCCCGCTAATATTTTCGATTTAAGTTCATTTTCAACTGAATCAGAATCACTGTTCGTGATTGAAACGCAGTGTCTGATCAAAGATGATTATTTTCATTATGATAAGTGTGAAAAGATTTGGAAAATGAAATTAAACTTGAAGTGTAATGATTTTCCTATCGATTATAGGCGATTTGCGAGTATGCCTTAAAGAAGGAGTTTGTCATCATTCAAGGATACATGTCTAATTTTCAATGAACTAATTAACTTATTTCCTGCAAAAAAAATGGATTTTAGCCATGAAATTTCATTGTCTTAGACGTTATCAATATTGCACAGAAACAAATGTCTCTACAGCTATGTGAAATTATGAATAAGCATTAAAAATTTGACTTAAATACATAGATGACGATGATGAATTAAACCAGACAATCTTGAAATTGCCTTACGGTCTGAAGGACTAGCTAAATTTTATGGATCGATATTTAAATATAATGATATTGTAACTAATTATGAAAAAGTACTAGAAATTGATCTTCAGAAATCGAAACCAAAATTCACAGAATACTGAGATTTGTACAAGACTAGTTAAAATACATATTGAACATAGGCGTGATTATGGTTCAGTATTAAGTTAATTAATCAATAAAATAGGAATACATGTTGTTGCATAAGGGATCCCATGATGAAAGACTAATGTTAGATTTTTTCTCCTATTTTGTCTTTTGAGCTTTCGGTTTTTAACTGTTAGTATTAAAGTTTGTTTTATTTTATAGTGTTTTTTTTGCACGGTTTAAAGCGTTTTGCGCCGTAACCTAGACAACGTTTTGGATGCGCAAAAATACTCTATAAAATACTATTTATTTTACAACCATTAATATTAACAATTAAAAAGAGGAAACCCAACAAAAACAACAAATTTTTATTACAACTACACAAGAGCACATGTGACACGAAGGTAATTTCTGAGTGAATTCTTGCTTTTTATAGCTGAAACTTTGAGAATAGACTGGATATCAAGCCGTGTATCTGCAGTATAAATATCAGTTGAAAGAACAATAATATGGAGAAGTAATCAAAAAACATGAGGTGTTCGGTTTACTTTGACCAGGGGAATATATCAGTATATGATATATATGATCAAATAATTATTTTGTAGTGAGAAGAGAACGGTATCATACAATAAGATGATTAGATAAAGTAGAAGATAGACAACAGAAGCAAGAAAAATAAGATATGTAAAGGCAACTGGGAAGACGACATCAACAAGGAAGAAATATGATTGATTGTTAATCATCTGCATACAATTATTTTTGTTCGCGTACACACTTGATGTATTATTTTATGTATGCTGCTCAGAGATTTGGCTCTCAATGAAGGCAACGAATGCATTGTACACTTCGGCTTTAGACTTGCTACGGTCGTAGGCAAACGAGCCGCTTGCTGGTATGCCATTGAGTTTCACCAGGTTGAAGACCGGATGATAATATGAAGCTCGGTATGTGCATTTCATATCGCCTATAAAATGAAATTAAATGAGTAGGAATAAACCCTAAAATTTTATATGATTATCAATAGTAGCAATGTAGTTTTTGCAAGACTGTCTGTTCTTTGTATATGTCATACCTTTCTGTAGGGTAAGTCCAACATTATTGCCACAACCCCAGAAATTATCATCTGATTCGACATGATGCCATTCATTCCATACCTCGTCACTATTGCCGCCGAAGTTCCAGTTCTGTTCGCCTGACCGAATAAATACCTGCATGGATCTTAGTGTCAGTGTGTTTTTATTGTTGAAGGAGTGAACAAGTTGTGCAGGGTAGCAACGTAGCTTTTACGGGCGGTGCTGATAAAACTTGATAGAACTCACTGTTTATAAGACCATCACGATTGTGCTATTTATATGTTAGAGAAGCTCTTCTCACCTATGTATTTCACCATAAGAGTGAAATAGAACAGAATGAGTCAGAGCGAAGGTGAACAAACACACATACATACAGAAAGGAAAAATGACAATATAAATGACTAAGAATGTACATGCTGCTGGGTTACAATGACGAATGCTTAAATTGAAGGAACAGGATGGAAAAGGCAGAGACAGGAAAAAAAACTTGACTAGATATCAGTGTCTAAATGGTCAACAAAACTGTTTTCCAAAAGTGGTGTGCTCAAAATCGGCGGTTTGTGAGATGAATAAATAAGGACTATAAACTAAATAAAACTAAAGATTATCACATTACAAACTGAAGTTATTATAGCATAATTTTATAGCGTTTATACCACACGGCTCGTGTCATTCAACTACTCAGAAAAAGGTCAATTTTGCAGCACTATCACATATTCAGCATACTGATATGACAGTTAGCCGTGTTTGTAGGCATGCACCAGTTACAGTTAACTGTAAAACTGTAGAACCGTAACTGTCATAACTGTATAACTGTAACTGTGAAAACTGTAACTGCTCATAACTGTAGGCAAATATTCTAGAGTGTTTAGTTCTGTACGATTTCCATACATTTTAAGAATGTCTCTATTCTTAAAATGTATGCGGAGAAGACTAATTCACTCTAGAATATTTGCCTACAGGTATGAGCAGTTACAGTTATCAGCAGTTTTACAGTTTTACAAGTACAGTTAACTGGTAAAAAACTGTAACTGGTGCATACCTACGTGTTTGCGTTTTACTGTTGACTCATTCTGCTTCCATTTTCACCCTCACTGTCCGTCTGTCTATCTGTTTCGCTGCTTTGAATAAACAAGCACATAGGCATTATTCGTGACTATCTGACGTCGATTGATATTGGACGAAATCTCTTCGAAATATTGATCATTAAATGAAAACCATTTGTCGTTCACTTTTCTAGCAGTGGCTGTATAGTGCCCACTGCTCAGACTTCCTTGATGATTTGAAATAGCAATTAAGTCATAGAGACTATCGTCCGATGGTTGGGCGATCGCATATCGTCCGAGATCCAAATTGTTGAATGGAAATTCAATGAACGTATCGATTTTGTCATTTGAATTGTTGTACGTAAATCGTTTCAGTTGAATAACGAATACTTGAGGCATTGGAGAACATAGATCTGATTTTTGTTTTGCTACCGTTATTTGATTACACATTGCACAATAATAATCACCGTCCAAATCGGCTTCTTTAAAAAAGTCGTCTAGCAAATATTCTAGTGTCAACTGCTTTGCATGTTTGCCGCTCATGAATGAGGACGGTGGTAATGGCAGTGGGAGAAAATTTGACGATTGATCATTCGGATCGGGCATAAAACAATGCGAACAGGTGACTGTCGATCGAGTTTTGATAGAAAACAATTGTGTTACTATCGATTCATTACTGTCGTCTTTGAGTTCTTTATGCAATGCGTCTAGCAGTGAATTGATAAATTCTTGTGAGTCTTGTTGCCCGTTATCAGAGAATATTGGTGCTGAACGGTTGACGCGGTGTTTCAATTCTCGAGGTGTTACGGACGAGTTTTCACCAGACCACATTAATTTAATAAGATGCGCATATGCATATGATACAGTTTGGTCATCCGGAGAGTCACTGAACAGATTATCGAAGTGTTGTGTCATGGCGGTAATATTAGCTAAACATTGCAATGCACTATTCATAAAACATGTGTTACCGATGTTTTCCAAACCGCATAAACCGCCAACAGACGGATTTATTTTTGGTAGAGATTCTTCGCTGTCCAATTTTGGCTCTTTGTGTTTTTGTCTGGACAACTTCGGCGCAGAATGTATGTTCGAGAATCGAGCTGTTGCTGCTTTCCGAGTGTTAGCAACAGTCTGTCGCGTTCGGCCGTCTCCGTTTGGTTGAAGTTGACACACTGATAGACGTCTTAGTGTAGTCTGTAACACTGTGGAAGATGCGCATAGCTGCGTTTTAAGATTTTCGTCTAGATGTAAATTACTATCTTTTTAGTAGGCTTAGCTCTTGTTAGTTGGATCTTAAACTAAAATAAGCGGATGTTTATGCTTACCTTTTCTTTTCTGAGCCGTGAATCGCCGTTTATTCAGATTCGGCTGAGGCTATCTTGCTTGATCGGGCATAATTTGGGTTCTTTCTTGGAATATATTCGGCTGAACGAACATCGAATTGTTATCTCTTTCTTCTTCGAAGATGCAATTAGCGGAACAATCTACAAATCGAACAGCAGGAAAATCCCGTTGCCGGTCTACTAGCTAAAGCGTCAACGACATACTTGCCACAAAATTTGAATGACTGAATCGAATGGACCACCTGAGTTGACGCAAATATTCTAGAGTATTTAATACTATACGAAGACATTGTTGTACCAGAAGTGAGCCAGGAAACTCGCAAAAACCCCCTTTTTATAGCCTACCAGATTTAAAATCCACAACTGTTTTTCTAGATGGGTGAGCCGTAGGTGCGGAGTAGTGCTTTTCAAAGGCTATAACTAAAGCATTTACATTCTTTCCAAGTCAAAAGACTTGGATCTCTTTCCGACTAGAACTTCGGAACCCTCTCATCGATCAATGGAGAAAAACTAAATAGTGTCCGAACTGTTCATTTGAATCTACTGGACTGTCCACTGGACTTGGTAATATCGTACAGTAAATTTCAAATTTCGCCACCACTATTCGCAGAAAGTGTTTAAGTATGACCCGAACTGCTCAGAAGGCTATTGTTAACACTTAGCTGACTCCCGCTGACTAGTAGCGTTAGGTTCAAAATCCAAAAGATGCCTCTCAACTGCTTGTTGATTACTAATTTGGAGATGCTGTGATCAAATTCTTCTTCTTCTACAGAATTTTGAAATATGGTGGCATTGTAAAAGTGCCTCAAAATACATTCTTTTTTATTCTTTCTTCCGGTAAATCCCAGCAATAACTTTATGCGATACATCCCATATGAGCGCTTTGCTGCTCTTTTCTCTCCTTGAAAAGTTTAACTTTTCGTGATCTCTTGCAAAAAAAATCGGTGTCTCCTAATCAGTTAAAATAGAAGTTGGTAGATGACACTATTAGTAAGTGAGGTGGTAGTATTTTCTTCTTATCCTGTTCTGTTTGCTACAAGGCTGGTCGCGTCAACATCCTAGAAGCTAATCAGCTTATCGGTTGTGGGAGTTGAAGTGCATTTTTTGCGATACACCCGAGGATAATTTTTTTTTGGGCGTTCGTTTCATTAATAAAAATTCATATAATACTGACTTCTCAGATTAACTAATTTCAGCGACCAAATTAAACAATCAAATTTCGGGGCAAAACTAGAGACCGCATTCCTCGTATACCATTGCACATGAAATAAAAGGTAAACTGGCAAAGAAAAGAAAACTCTAATGAGTAATTTATTTACTCTAATTTCACAATATTTATTCACGCGTAATCTAGAATTAATCATACAGGACAACGAAATGAACACTTTAATACCTAGTCAGTAAACTTACAATATACAAAAAACAATGTACTCACAGTAGGCGTCCAGGCGGATTTTTGGTTAAAAACCGAAAATGCACTTTTTCTAAATTCACATAGCGTCTGATATATACTTTAGCCTATGCGCTATTTATGGGCGTTAAAATTTTTGTTTTAAGTGTTACCGCGCTTGGGAAAATACTTAGTCAAAAATTAGCTTGAAAACACAGAGGCAAAGAACAAAAAATTCGTACGTAAAACTAAAGGCGATATAGATGTGAATCTACTCACCTTCTTCTAATGATCAATGAAGAAATTTATCCATTTGGACTTAACACCTCGGTGAAAAAAATGAGTTCCGAAAGGAACTTATTTTCTGCACAGTTGAACTTAGTATAATGAGCACTCCCAATTGTCCCCATCATAAAAATACATCGAGCTTTGCTAGAATGTTCTTCAATATATACCGCATCCATACAGATAGTATAAATTAGCACAAATATTTCTGGGTCAATCAGTAAATATTTCAAAAATCCTTGGTTTTTCAGATAAAATGTCTTAGTCCGGGAACATTTTCAATAAAAAAAAATAAGATGATATTTAGAATCAGCGCGTAAAACAGGATCGAATGATGTATAAAAACGAAACGTTTTTCAGCAAAACCAACTTTTTCTCAGAAATTGTACGGAAATCCTTACTTGGGAATTTTGTACAAAAACGATTTTTTCTGTACAATTTTTTTCTGTCTATCCTTTAGGTTAACGGCAAACCTGCTCATCCGCAACGACCCAAAACTGCGAAAACAATCGTCTCCTTCCAAAAATTGTGTAGAGATATAGAATCAAGCGTACAGATCACTGAATCGATGTAAGGTTTCGGGATCTCAATCTACAGTTGTCTATAGTCCAGTACTTTTCAAGAACTCCCACATTTTTTCTCTCTTATTTTCCAGAAAAGCGAGGAATGAAATTTATTCAACCCCACCATCTATAGAGCATACACAAAAACCTGTAAATTTAGTTTTTACTTTTGACTAACGCGTTGTGACCGTTTTGAACCATACGTCCGCCTGCTCAAACCAAAAACGCCCTCTGTGGTACTTGCTCAGAAAATGAGTGGTAAATAACGCAGAATAATTCAGGAATAAATAATTAAATACAGTAATTGACTAAATATTTACATTTTTGAGAAAAACATTTCTGACCGTTAGTTTATGGCATAATTCTCGGAAAAATTGAATAATCCTGTTTTTTATCAGTCGCTGTACATTTGTCATAACATGACACACCCACCCCATGAACTTTTTTACAATCTGCTTCATCAGCTAAGCATATAAAGCAGAATATAGGTCGTATTTTTGAACGAGGCTTCATTACCAGATGAAAAGGAAATGGTATTAAAAGTATTGCATCAATATTTAGATGAATGTAAAGTTGCTTTTGTGGCCATTGCAAATAAAGTGTTCGACCCTGCAAATGCAAATCGAATGATTTGTGTTTATCGTTCGTTGCCATCAAAAAAGGATCAAGAAATTTTGGCCTACGGTTGTCTTGTTCTTGTAAATGAAAATAAAAATTCTGATGATCTTAAAAATATTATTTTCTGTCTCTGTCTAGGTTATCGACGCGTACTTGATTGTGATGCCATACCAAAGATATTTCATGATCGAGATTTTATCTACATGTTACGAGAACTACGTTTTGGACCTCGATCAACTGCAACATATTCGGATGCAACTGTCGATGAGATTACCCCAGAGAGTTCATTATGTGCTCTTCAAGATAATTTTAATGGAATAAAATACGATGAATTTAAACAATTGACCGAAATTTTCTTTAAAGCAATACAAGAAAAATGTCCCATTTTTGAATTACCAACAAATAATTCAGAGCGAAATGTTTATCGTGATGTGACAACTATTCTACGTGAATCGATGCCACTCACTTCAATACATCGTCGATTGTATGGTCGCTATAAGTTAATTATTGATGAATCAGAAGATGAAAGTGTCGTTCGCCTTTTATTCCAAACAAAAATTCTGGATCCGAATCGAACAACAATTTTCCGCTTATCGGATTTTCCCGATGATGTTGATAATGAATTGAGAAACGTTGAAATTCTATCGACAATTAAATTATGCATTGAAATCGGTAAGACAATTTTAATGGTTAATACTGGATGCATTCACGGCTCACTATACGATGTGTTCAATCAAAATTTCTCAATAATGGCGACAAGTGATACCCGAAAGATTTTCTCGAAAGTTGCTATCGGTCCTAAAACACCCGATGTTGTTGTTCATGAAGATTTTCAATGTATTGTACATATAAATCGAAGTGAAATCAACGAGGTAACGGCCCCGTTTCTGAGCCGTTTTCAAAAGTATTCATTTAGTATTCAAGATTTCTATCGAATCCAATTCAGACAACTTTCAATGGACGATCAAACTTGTTTGAAAAACGTCGAAGAAAAGTTGAAATCATTCATTGAACATTTTAGTTCAAAGAACTTCTGTGGATTAAATAATAATACTCTCTACTCATGCTTACTATCGATGATAGAAAATGACGAGAATGGACATTGCGGAGTTGCAAATGTACATCACCAGTATACACAATTGACCATTAAAACGAAATCGTTCATTGAAGAAAATCCAATCAATATTCAAAAATGTCTCTTACGTTCAGTGCTAGCCAAATTGATGCAACTCGTCTCACCTGGATCGATCATATTCAAATTACCAACATTTGAAGATAAAATTGCTCGATTACTATGTAACAATTATTTTCGTCAGCAAGAACATTTCAGTTTGGAAAATTTTATTCGACAACTTGTTACAAAATCATTAAGTGAAACTCAAAATGACGACGGTGAAACAATGAATAGAACAACGGATGAGTCATCAAGAGCTAAGAATGTTCTCATAACAACAAAAGTAATGATATATACACGAACATCATCGTACGTTATGAGTCTTAATAAGTTATCAAAATTTCGATTGCTCGGTAACAATAACAATGCTGATTATGAAATAATTAGTGGAATGACCAATATTCTAAGTTTGGTAAGTTTGGAAATATTTGATTTTAATTAAAATACGCAACAGTATCAAACCTTTTTGATTGTAAACGAAAACGTTTTTACTAAAGTTTGAATATCTAGACAGTAAGGATTCATGTGTGATAAGCATCTCACTTCTTGATTATATTAAATGATTGCAATCCAATACGGACAATTTATCCTTTTTTTGTGTTTATATACCAGTTTGCCAAGCAAAGAAAGTTCTAAAACTATGAATATTGACTTTGGTTCAATAGAATAATGTCATATTGAGTTAATTGAAACGAAAAAAGAACATATCGTATGCGCGATTTCAAAAGTTGTTCACGGTGTGTGACAACAATTTTATTTGTTGTAGACTGTTAGCGAAAATGCCGCTGAATTAGAACAAAAACTCCATGCCTATGAACAAGATCGAGATAAACACGTTCTAATTATTGTAATAAATGCTCGATTGACTCAACAACGTCGAAATATTCCATTTGTACGACAACTCGTTGATAGAACAGAAAACGGATGCAATTGAAACAACAATACTACACAACGAAAACATTTTATCATACTTATTCATGCAGCTTCTGATACGAGTACTAGCAAATCGTATTTTTCGTCGATATTCTTACACGGATGGGACTTTTACATTTTCGATACATGTACACCGGGAAGTGCATTTCATCTGCAGAAGATGCTACAAATTATATCTTCGTCGGACAATGAACAAGAAGAACAAGCCAGCAATATTCTGTGTGATTTAGATGTTCTATTTGGTAATTGTTCGTGGGATTTTTGTTCACGAATTCAAATTTTTAGTCATGAACTACCACGACAGATGCTCACTGATAAGAATGTCTACGAATTTTATCAACATGGTACAACTCTAGTAAGACGTGTACGATGTTTGAAACAAATTCTTCAAAAATCGAGTCAATTACAAGAACGAATCATTAGTATGTATCATGAATATATCTCAACGAGAAAAAATTCTTTAAACAAAACGTATATAACAATCTACCACATATCGAAAGGTATTCTATCTGGTACATATTCGAGCGGTCTCGTCGATTTCGTATATTATCAAATACGAATTTCATTTACAAAGTTTATTTCATATATTTTGAAATTTATTGTCAACGATTATGGTTTGGAAACATCGCCAGAATCGTTGACGATCGATTCGAACCCATGTTGAATTTAATCAATCTTTCGTCACTCGTTCTTGATGAGGATAACAATAAAAATTCACCATCACCGAATCAAGGCACATTTCAAATTGCTACACAATGTTCGTGTATTCCACAGACACCATTATATCAGGTGTTCCATCAACGAATTAAATTGCTTGCTGACGAAGTCAAACAAGTATTCATGGGAAAAAAAATTGCAAACACAGATTAGAAAATACATTTGTATCGTGTTCTTTAGGATTGATCGCCACAGTAATTCCTTAGAATTCAGAGAAACAAGAGAAGATATAAATTATCAAAGCGTAAAGATGGATTTCCAATCGTTCATTCATTTTCTTGACGAATTACAAAAACGGACGAACTTTTCTAAAAGTGTAACTTGAGGATTTTCTGGTCCTGTGTCTTTCACTATGAAAAGTTATTTCTGTATGTTTCATTCTTATGAAAACGGCTGTTCGACGGCACTACTAGCATCATGCAACTATCGAATAAGAACTATAATATGCCAATGTTTCTTCAATAGATGGAAAACGCCACTAGCAGACAGTTTACGATTTTTACCCATTGATAGAAAACATTTGAAAGCATGATTATGAGGGCAATTTTACCTGATTAGTCATTAGCTAAGTAGGTACATTTTATTTTTTGAACATTTTGACAATAATAAGGACTCCGAAATCAACTGTACTATCACTGTCCACTAGAGAGCTGTGGGTCCACGTTTTTCTGGACCCGGACCCGAAACGAAAATTTTAGACTCGAACCCGGACCTAACAATAAATTAAATCTTGGATTCGACTGGGCCCGAGTCTGGACCCGATCGGATTTAGACCCGAGTTTTTTTTCACTAATATCTGGTATTAGAAAGATGCAGGTCCATGTTGTTTTGGACCCGGAAAAAAATAAAATTGTAGACCCGGAGCCGTAGCTCCCTACTGCCCACTTCAGACAGATCGATCAAAGAGAATAGTATACATATAAGAGAACATTCTCAGATAGTCAGTTGATTTCAACCTTAGATCATAAGTGCAACTGTACCTTTATTTTCTCGATATCTCTACCAATACTCAGGTCAGACTTACATTTAGTTGGCGAGTATCGCACCTAATGGCAATATAAGTCTAAATATGTGAGCCGGATTGGACAATTATTGATGAAGGAATTTAATGTTATTATGTTGTAATCTAAAAATCATACGCAACATTTTGTTCTTGATGGAGAACGGAAGTAAAGACTGGGTTCATATTCTAATTGTACCTCTATGTTGGGGTCAACCATGTTTTCAAAAAATTTCAGCTTGTCTGCTCATTTTCGTATCAACATACAGAAAAATTATCTGGCACATGATGATACTTCAATAGAAGGAATGCTGACAGTAAACAGGAGATAAAACTAAATTCATTAAGGGAGCAATAATGCTACTGAAATCGGACTAAAAGATAGAAGTAGGTGGTAGATATGAGCTCCGTGTTTGCTTTTGTTCTTGAGCTAGAACAAACTGCTGTATAAGAATTTACGATTAAAACCTGTAAAAATTAAATGTCTAATAAAGGCTCAAACTTTCAGATTCACACTGAAATTTAACGCATTAATCATCACAGAAAGATGAGTCTTATAGGAATTCGATTGGCTGTGATATCGAAAAATCAGACCCAAAAATGAAATTTCCTGAATAGTCCTTATCGACTAAGTATAGTCATAGTTCGAAAGCAATTGATTACCTGGGGAATTTCCCCCATTAATGCAAATAATCATGCACATTTTTGTTTTTCGTTAGAGAGAGTCGCAGAACATATAGACATTTTATTACTGTCCATCCAAAAAGTCGGTGCGTGTGACTATTTTTAATAACTCGGCATCAAATAAAGATAGAGACTTGCAATTTTCACCATTCGATAGCTAAGACTTGAGGCTATCTTCCCATGAGCAAAAATGAATTTCGAAAAAATTTTCAAAGCC